ATAAAACATTAAGAGCGGGAGTCTGTCTTTGCAGAGCAAAATGGATCAGGACAGGCCACCAGTATCGGAAGAGATGGTCAACCGGTTCCGAGAAAAAAATGTTTGCGAAGCCCCACGAAGTCCATAAGTAATTTCTCATTCAATTTCTAATGAATAAATCTTATTTCTCTCAACAATGTGTCTGTTTAGGTTCATTTGTCTACATCAGTGATTCCCAAATATTTTTTCTTTCCTCTGGCTGAATCTTCGGAATCAAAATTTGCTTGCGTCTCACCAAAGTTTATGTGATAAAAACTACATGTAAAATTAAAAAAAAAAAACAGAGTGTTAAAGGGAGCTAACTGCGGATTCAAAGTCAGAACATTATCATTGATAACTCTCTCCTACAATTTGGAGAGCCTAGTTACTATATTCTTAATACTTGGTATAATGCAAAAATATCACAATGATAAAATTGCTTAATAATTATTTACAACTATTTATACTGGGACACATGCATGCAATTACAAGTAATTCATAATAATATTTTGATATCATATTTATTTTTGGTATATGCAATTTTTAAAACTCTTTCTACATCTTTGATTGACTTTCAATCATTCCTTCTCATCTGCTGTTCTCTTCCACCACACCTATGAGGCGTGCTGCACTGTTTGGAAACAAAACTCCAAAAAACCACTAAACAATTTTGATAATTCAATTACTTTGTTAAAATCCTAAATAAAACCTTTTCATCAATACAAGCAATATTACTCTAAACTGTTCATTTTGATAATTCATTTGCAAAACTTAAATAAAAAATTAAACTATAAATTTTAGGAAACACCTTTTCTTAGAATAATCACTTAAAGTTAATTTTAAAATTTTAAAGAAAGCCTTCAATTATTCTTTTTCAAGCACACAAGATGGATGAATGGTTGGAGCATCAAGTTGTGCTGATGAGAGGTGGTATTTCATCAAAATTTGGCTCAAATTGAAAATTAAAAGTCTTAAGCTGAATTTTTAGATGAATTTTAAAAATTATCAAAATTTTCACAGTTAATTTCTCTTAAATCTCTTGCTTTTGTACAAATAGTAAATTAAATAAATTTCAAAAATGAAGCCTTGTCAATTATTATTCATTTTCGACAAAGTATTTCTTTGATCTTAAAAAAAAATTTTTTTCCACCAAGTAGTAATAGTCTTAAGTTGTCTGAATTTCTTAGATGAAGCCTTGTCAATCATTATTCATTTTTCACTTGTATTTCTTTCATCTTATTTCTCTTGCTTTTCCACCAAGTAGTAATAGTCTTAAGTTGTCTGAATTTCTTTAGATGAATCCTTGAAATTATTATTCATTTTTCAGATGCCAATTTCTTTCATCTTATTTCTCTTGCTTCAAAACCAATTAGTAATCTTTCTTAAGTTGTCAAAATTTCTTAAATGAAGCCTTTCAAAAAATTATTATTTTCAAAAGTATTTTTCTTTCATCTTAAAGGATTTCTTGCTTTTTTCCACCAATTAGTAATAATTAAGTTGTCTGAATTTCTTAGATGAAGCCTTGTCAATTATTATTCATTTTTTTTATTTCAAATTAGAATTTTCATCTTATTTCTCTTGCTTTTCCACCAATAGTAATAGTCTTAAGTTGTTAAAATTTTTTTTAGATGAAGCCTTGTGCAATTATTATTCATTTTTTTTATTATTTCTTTCATCTTATTAATTTTTTGCTTTTCCACCAAGTAGTAATAGTCTTAAGTTGTCTGAATTTCTTAGATTTTTTTCCTTATAAATTACCAAATTAATTTTTTATTCATTTTTGGGATTTATTATTTCTTTTTCCAAAAAATCTTAATTGAAAAAATGGAAAATTTTGAAAATTTACCTAAAAAAAATTAAAAAGAAAAATTTTTTCTGAATTTTTTTAAATTGTAGAAAGTCTTATTTTAAAAAAATTTTTAAAATTTTTTAAATTTTTTTCAGAAATTTTAGATCTTTTTCATAGACCAAATGTAGTCTTAATTCAAAAATTTCTGGATGAAAAATTGGAAAATATTTTTCAAAATATTCTGACAAAAAAAAAACATTTTGAAAAGTAGTAACTTGTCAAATTTCTTAGATGAATTTTTGTTTACAGATTTTAAAAGATTTTTTAAAAAATTTCAAAAATATATTTATAACCAAATTTTTTTTATTTGTTTATTATTTAATGAAATTAATTTCTTTTAATCAAAAAAAAAATTTTTTCTTAATAAAATTTTAAAAAAAAAAAAAAAAATTTTAGTGAAAATATGAAAAAAATATTCACAAAATAAAAAAAAAAAAAAAAATCAACATTCAATCTTTGGATATAAAAATGACAAAATAATATTCCCAAAAATATATCAAAAAATTAATATAATGATTCAAATATAGTGTTGTACTGATGTCATTACACAAGATTATAAAATATTTTTTAAATTAATAAAAATGGTAAAGACATAAATTGGTAAACATTGGCCTTCTGCTTATAAATATCCCTGTTTTTATCAGGGTTTGGGCATAGATGATGTGAGGGGTTAAAATTTTCAGTAATGGAAAAAAAAAAAAAACCATATGCTACAAATTTGTTTGCCATAAAATAAATGGAACATTGGATGATTTTAAATGAAAAATGGTAAAAAAAAAAAAAAATAAAAAAATCAACCTTTGCCCAAAATTTAAATGGATTTTACAAAGAATCATACCAATTATTTAATAAAAAAATATTCACACACTTTGAGTTTAAAATATATTTCTAATGAAATTTGCTCGTGCCCAAAACCGAATTTTATTTGATAAAAAGTACATTTAAAAAAAAAAACAAAAGATCTTTTTAAAGGGAGATAACTGCAGATTCAAAGTCAGAACATTATCATTGATAACTCTCTCCTCCAATTTGCAGACCCTAGTTACTATATTCTTAATACTTGATATAATACAAAAATATCACAATGATAAAATCAGTCAATAATTATTTATAACTATTTATATTGGGACTCATGCATGCAATTACAAGTAATCCATAATAATATTTTAATTTTTGAAATCATATTTATTTTTTTTTTTTTTAAACTGTTTGACCATAGAGATTTTTTAAACATTTTCCAATTTTTTTTTAAACACCCTGTATAAATTTTTTAATGTAAAATCTAATTTTAAGAGAATATAGATTATATTTATTCAAAAGTTATAATATTAATATGTTATAACATTACTACAAAAATCGCCATTTTGTTTTAACACTTCTTATCAAGTAATGGTGTTGATTACAAAATAAAGAATTTCTTTTTTGAAAATTCAAAACCAAATAAAGCCCTCTCAATGCGAATGCGTTTGTGATGTCGTCTGCATTATCCAACTCACTCTTGCCTTAGGTTTATAGCATTTATTGATACTTTTCATATCAGCGTCGAATTTACGGGATGCATTGGCATTTAGCTAAGAATAGAAATAATATGTTTTCTCTCCTTTTCCTCCGTTCCATTTTTGAATAACTTCGTAATATTTTAAACTTAATGATCGGTTTAATTTAGAATTTGAAATTTGTCATTTTTAATTTTACCTTGAAATTAAAACTTAATTATTTCATATTGATTTCTAGTTTAGATTAAATTAGATCAACTAACGGTTTTTATTCAGAATACACTGTCACGTTTTTTTGAATACTCATATACTTGTATTCTGATTTGGTCATCATATGTAAGTAACAAGGTTTCCCCTATTGAGGGGATTGGATTTGGTTTTGAATTTTTTTTTTTCTTTAATTTCATTATTTCGCAATCAACAGCATCACTTGATAAGACAACAGAAGTGTTGAAACAAAATGGCTATTTTTGTAGTGATTTTATAACATGCTTATTTTATAATTTTTGGATAAATATTATTTGCTCTACTTTGTATTGAGCACTTTTTAAAACCAAAATAGTGGATTTTGTTATCGGAATTTTTTTCCAACTATAGCAACCCTGTATTCGGACAATATAGATTATTATTAAATTGTAATACAATTCTTTTTATTAATTTCTGTAAAATTTACATCAGGTATGTGCAATCATTTATGAAAAATATTAATTGCATCAGATACGATTCATGATTCCTTTTAAAAATAAAAAAAATTTTATCAAAGATATTTTTCGTTGAAGGTGCGTCTGCCATTTAATTTTTTAATTTTTAATCATAAAGGTGTATTTAAAAATGTAAATTTTTTTGAAATGAAATTTTTTTCATTTAATTAAAAAAAAATTAATATTTCAGTGAAAAATATTATCCCAATTTTTTTTTGACATGATTTTTTTTTTATTATTTTTCATTTAAAAATAAAAAATAATTAATAAAAAAAATACTATTTTTCTTTAAAAAAATTTTTTTTTTTTTTCTTTCTTTTTTTTTTTTCTTTCTTTCATTTATTTCATTCTTTCTTTTTTTCTTTCATTAATAATGAAAATTTCTTTCTTTTTTCTTTATTTATTTTTTCTAATGCCTTCTTTCTTTTTTTTTTCAAAAATTTTAAATTTTTTTTTTTTCTTTCTTTTTTCCTTTCTTTTTTTCTTCATTTTCTTCTTTCTTTTTCATTACTATGCCTTCTTTTTTTCTTTCTTTCTTTTTTTTATTCTTTTTTCCTTTCTTTCTTTCTTTCTTATTTCTTTTTTTTTTTCTTTAAATTTCTTTCTTTCATTCTCATATGTTTCTTTTTTTTTTTCTTTATTTTTTTTTATTTTTAAAATTAAATATTAATTTTCCATTGTTTCATGCCTTTTTTTTTCTTTCTTTTTTTCATGAAAAATTGTTTTTTTTTTTTTTTTTTTTTCTTTCTTTCTTTCTTTTTTTTTTCTTTTTTTTTTTTTTTTTTTTCTTTCTTTTTTTTTTTTCATTTTTTCTTTCTTTTTTTTCTTTCTTTTTTTAAATTTTCTTTTCTTTCATATTTTTTTTTTTTCTTTCTTTCTTTTTCTTTCCTTTTCATTTTTTTTTTCTTTTTGAATTTATATTTTTTTTCTTTCTTT